TCATTCTATCATTTTTGAGATTGTATCCCATTACAGCTTTTCCCACTCTTTTGTTGACTATCAGGGCCACTCCATTCCTTCTATGGGATTCTTGCCCACAATAGTAGATATGATAATTATCTGAGCTGAATTCACCCATTCCTGTCCATTTTAGTTCACTGATGCCCAGGATGTCGATGTTTATTCTTGCCATCTCCTGTTTGACCACATCCAGCTTCCCAAGGTTCATAGATCTTACATTCCAGGTTCCTATGCATATATATTACATATTATATATGTAATAGATATATATGTAGTAGATATATTACATATTTTGATTTTTCACCTCTGCACACTTGCAAGGATGCTGAGCAAGATTTACTTACAGACTAAATACCTAAACACTTGAGAAGGAAGAAATGATAAAGAACTAGGAAAGGGGTTCTCAATGCAGCTAGCATTTATGTCTTGTGCCTAGCACTACTTATTCACAATTGGAAAGTCAAGCAAATTGCATAATTTGTCCTCTGCTTAGACCTTAATCCTGCTGACATACTAGGTAACAGTCCCTACATCTTGATCATAATACCTCCAGCAATCAATCCTTGTTTCTGAATGTTACCTGTAACGCAATACAGGAAATACTATGCCATATTTTAGCACCTGATCATAATGATTTTCATAATTTGATTTTTGTACAGAAATGCATTATGCACAATCTTGTTCAAAACCATATGGGCCAGCTGACGGCAAGATGCTATTTCTCTCCACCCATATTTCCCATGCCAATCCAGTTGGTTTCCATGTGCAACAAGCTGAATGGCAACTTTTTAAGCCAGAACTTGAAAATATGGTTTACAACTGGTCTATTTCTTGGTTCAAAACTATGGTAGCTTCTGCAATCTACTTCCATGACATGAATACAATGCAGGCATTAATACAAGCCTAATTAGTACTGAAAGTAGAATCAGAGAAGCAGCGCAGAAGAACAACAGATGCAACAAAAAGCATATATGATATTCTTAGGCACTCCTGACTTTTCAAACATAATTAAAAGATCAGGGAGTATAAAACCAACATTATTTAGCTGCACTTAAAACTGACTGAAATCACTTTGACTACCTGTGAACAACTGACATTCCATTTGCTGCAACTCCACTTGAATAGAACTAACTTGTTTTGGATCCAGAACAATGCTTTAAAGTTGGCTCAGTGTTTTGACGGGTGTCACTGAGACAGTTATAAGAAGCAAGTGTAGTCTTTGTTAGATTACCAATTTTAAAATAATTATTTTATATTTACTAATCTAAATTACTAATTTGTTAAACTACCAATACATTTTTACTAACACAATTGACTTCAAACTTGAATTTGTTAAAAAAATCAATTGAATACTTTATGCATTTTTAAAATTATTGCCTTTACTCACTGCAGCCCCAAGTAAACTTCACAGGGGAGCAAATATTTCAACTTTGATTTCCTAATGCTCTGTATTTATGTTCTATATACAAAAAGGAAAAAAGAAAAAAACATGTGCAGATGACATCATTCTGAATTTGCCACAGAATGTGTTTTCACTTTGAAAAGCACAACACAGGTACAAATGACTAAAGCAATCACTTACCAGGAGAGGACTGAAGACAAAACATTACAGAAAGGACTATCACATGTACTTAGTGTTACCTGTGTAACAAGAGGTTCTAGCAGCCTTTCAACTGCCAGTGTCCTTATCTCCAGGCTTTTAGGATCCCATTTGAAGTTAACATTTCCTGCATTAATGGAAGACATTTCTAGAAAGAAAAAGAGAATTTGGTAATTACACTCTTACCATTATTTTCAGTGCAACATAACCCTATGACTGTCTGATTAGATGGCTCGGTGCATTTAACAGTTCTTACTTCAAAATAAGTGTCCATAAATCAGATGTACTGGATAAATGCATAGCATCCTGATAGAAATGATACCCAGTATGATGCAGTGACAAGAGTGGCTAAGATTCAGAAGACCTGGGTTTGAATCCCTATTGAGCCATGAAAATTCACTGGGAGTGTGGAACTGTTAAGGTAAAGGTTCCCCTTGACAATTTTTGTCCAGTCGCGTTCGCCTCCAGGGGGCGGTGCTCACCCCCGTTTCCAAGCCATAGAGCCAGCGTTAGTCCGAAGACAATCTTCCGTGGTCACATGGCCAGTGCGACTTAGACACGGAATGCTGTTACCTTCCCACTGAAGTGGTTCCTATTGATCTACTCGCATTTACATGCTTTCGAACTGCTAGGTTGGCGGGAGCTGGGACAAGCGACGGGAGCTCACTCCGTCACGTGGATTCGATCTTATGACTGCTTGGTCTTTTGACCCTGCAGCACAGGCTTCTGCGGTTTACCCCACAGCGCCACCACGTCCCTGTCGGAACTGTTAAGACCACTTCTTAAACTGTATATTTACCTTGAAACCCCATTAGGGTCACTATAAGTTGGTTCTGACTTGATGGCACACAATGACAGACAGAAAAACACAAATTGCAAGCAATACTTTCTGAGATCTCTTTTACAAAGATGTTAAAAGTCAGACACCCTGTCTTTTTTATATGTGAATACCCTGGGCACAAACTAGGGCAGATTACTCCCATTACTAATGTTTTTCTGCAAAAAACAGAGAGCCACATTTCTCAACAGGAAATTAGATCCGGAGTTTCAGTCTGTTTTTCTTATTTGCTGCCAACTAGCAAAATGAGACATACATCTCCTATATATTCATTCCTTTTCCTATCAGCCCCAATCCTGTCTTTTCAGCCTGTCACATCAGGTACGTCAATTATATTAAAAACACACCCAAATTTGTGTCATGAGTCCCAACCCATGAAGGGAAATGAGTAATATGACTGCAGGGAGCAGAAAGTAAAGACAATAGTGAAATACACAGGTTCACAGGGGTGAGGGGATAGCTCTAATGAAACTATAGGATGAAGCTTTCCAATCATACTACGTATTTACCTGTTGCCATGAAAAGAAAATCAGCATTATAACTCCACTTTTGTTCAAAGTTGGTAAAATGCCATGATCTCAAACTGCTTCATACCAAGTTACAAGGATGTCAAATTTCAGTCCTTAAAAGCACTCATGCCAGCACTTCACAAAAAAGAGAGGGCTCAACCCAATTATGAAAGGTGTGAGTGTGGCTAAGGGAACTCTACAATCTTGCATAAAGAGCCACATGTACTTTTAATGTGAGAGGTTCTTTTGACAAACTTACAAGATGACTATTTGACAAATGCTTAATTCCCACTTGTAACCCAAAGTAGCCTCCCTCTAATCACAAGCAGTCTGAAAATATACAGAACTTTTAGTCTTTTTAAACTTTTCATCGGTATGTCAAATAATACACTAAATTGCAAGTCACTAGGAACACTCAACAACAGACATCACCAAAATCTTTTACCTAATTTAGAGCCAACTGTCTTAGAAAATACCACTATTTCATTCATTCATTCATTCATTCATTCATTCATTCATTCATTCATTCATTCATTCATTTATTTATTTATTTGATTTGTACCCCGCATATCTGGACTGCCAGACCATTTCAGTACTTGGAACTATGTTGCTCTTCGGCCTCATGTCTTACCGAAAAAATATATTTGATTTATGGAACCAGGCAACCCGCATCTCCACTATGATCAATGTAGAGTTCCAGTTTCCTCTCAGAAAGCTAATGGAATAAGGTTGTATCAGAGGGGAAAACTGCCTTTCAAGAAACATTTCTTAAGCTGTAGCTATTAAAATGAGAATGTGAGAAACACCTGTGATACCACGAGAGAGTTGTTAGACTAGCTTCATTCTGGAAAGCAAATTTTCATTTAAGTGGCTTCTTGGCTTAACAGCTAAAGGTAAGCTCTAAAATCCAACAAGAGTCCTCAAAATAGATTTTGATCACGAAAAGTTTATTTGCCACAACCACACCTTATTTCTATTTTTTGTTTGCTACCGAGCACTTGGTTCATACAAACTGCAGGAAATGTGCAAGGTAGGATACTGCTTGGAAGTTCAAATGAATTGATCTCTGCAATTGTCTTCTCATTCTCACACTCTTTTACTTCTGCCTTCTCACTTTTCCACAAATAAGATAGAATCCCCCAATGATATTTAAAGCCCATTAGTATGTTTCTCTTATTTCTTTGGGTCATCTTTTCTTTAACTGTCCACTCTGTTCCCCTCAAGTCTTCTCCTTGCATTTCCAAAGCAAATTAAATTATCATTACATTGTTCACAGAAAGTTGATCAAACAGTAAAACAAACATTAACTTATTGACATTTAAATAGGTGAAAGTGAATCAGCAATCTAGAATATGTTTCACACATTTCTCAATGAAATAAGGGTATGGTATCAGCCAAAGAATACAATTGTTGCTGAACAGGAATAGCTATGTGATGATATCATTCCACTCAAAAGCTTCAAGCTTTTGTTCTTCTAGGCCACTTTCATTCCAACCACAGCCAGTACAGAAAAACAAGCTTGGATACTGAACAGAGCAATACATCAGTTTGGCAGAAGGTCTGGATGACAACTGAATGACTGCCTTGATGGAAGTATTGTACTTGTCTGGTAAATCACATATCAGACTCTCTGAAGAACTTCAATTAAAAACAACACACAAACTAGATGGAAGTCCTCAACAATAAAGAATACAACACATTCTTTTCAATGTTGCTTATCTTGAGAATGACATTTCAGCCAAGAGCCCTGAATGGAATAAATGGCAAATGACTTCACAGGGAAGGTGGAAAAGAGAATGGAAGAGAGACCAATACACCCTTATACTGCTCTGTGATAGTCACCTATCACAGCACTTTATAGTTTACAAATGCTTCCTGTCTGCATCTGTGATGAGGAAAAAATCTCCAAGTGAACAATATACAATGACTCATACCTGCTATACCAATGTTTAAGATAGAAATCCCAAGCATGCATAATGAACAAACTCCAAACGAAGTTAGTGAGATCTGTATGCAAGTTAATGCTGTACTTAATTATTGCTTTCAAGAGCACTCTGGCTAGATGCACATAACACAAGCTAGGGCATTCTACATCCTAGCATGTTTCAGTTCCAAGGTGCTGATTCCTGCTGCCCAACCACACCCACTGGAAGAACAACTAAAACAAAGACCACAGGATTGTTTACCATAATATGAGAATACAGTATGGGAGCAGCTGGCATTCTCCCTTCAGCAAGCCAGGGACATAATGCAAGTTCTGTTATTGATAGTTTCTCTATCTTGTTGGGATAGATAGAATGCCAGAAGGCAAGCTCTACATCAGGTTCACGTATCATGAGCAAAAAGAGGGTGGGGATGGAAATGGGAATGAGACACTGTTGGAAAAATCTTGGTAGCTGGTTGGCTTGGTAGCTTATTACTGTAGTTTGGTAGCTTATTAGGTCAATCAAAACTGAAAGAAAAAGTATGCTAGCTTCAAGATTCATTTCTCTTCATCAGGAAATATATTACAAAAGTGAGTGGAGTGATGGAAAGGAAGCCTTATTTAAGGATGACCTCTGTGAAATTCAGCACCTCACCTCTCTGCCCCCTGTGCAGTCTATTTAACACAACACAGAAACATCAAGGACTTAAAATCAAGCCTTTCTTCCCTCCTACCTCTAATTTTTTAACATTTCATTGAAGAAGAGAATTTAATCCCAAAAGCTTGCAGGTTTTGGTGCCTTTTTTGGTTAGCTTAATAAAGGTGTCATCCCAGCACAATGTTCTTTCTAAGCTGTGTGGCTGCACAGCCAAGTCAGTGTTGCCACCCATTTGCTTCCAGTTGTGGCTAGAACCCTGTGTGAATGGGGCAGGGCCCCTGCCTAGCACCCTGGAAAATTAGAGAATGTTGTTTACAACATTTTCTAACCCCAGGGAGAAAAAGAAAGAAAGAAAAACAAACAAGAGAAGGTTGACATGATACATAGCTTCCCATGCCAAATTGCTTCATAGTCCAAGCACCTTGGCCCTACAGGTACAGTACTTCTTGGGACCTGTGGATTTACTCTTGCTTCAGACCCAAAAGAAGTAATTGGGAGACAGCACAGAGACTCTCCTATTATACTTTACTTTGTTTATATGGCTCCATATTGCATGAATCATCCTTGATCGACCCCACCCACCAAGTATCTACACACAAGTAAATCAAATGTGAACAAAATATATTGCCCTGTAAATAAAATATGCTTAGACTTGGTCTGTCATCTCTTTCCAAAACCTTATACACTAGGTCCCACACAGATCCAATATTGCAGAGGGGAAGAAAAGAAACTGGAGACACAGAGAAAAGCATGCCCACACTTGCTGACTACCATCCAACTGAAATTTACATTACTGTCTATACAGTAAGAATCACAGATCTGGTGCTCACCACTGCCCCAGTCTCAGAAAACAATAGTTCTATATAACACAGATTCTTGTGGATCCTCATGATTCAGTGCAACAGTGCTGCACACCACTGATCTTGATAAAATATATGCTTATAAATGTGATTTGCATATAGACTTATTGATACCTTGTATAAGTTGAAAAGATTCATAAAGATTTGTAACTTTGATACTCTTTTAACATGGTAGCAGTGCCTAGATGTTAATTTCCCCCACTGGAGACAACAATGCAATCTGGTTGGTTGGGGGAGGGAATCTCTTGTAAAAATCATGTACATTCACAATGATCTATTTTTTATTTATTAGATCTTGCCATTTTATGACTGGCTACACCTTCACAGAAGCCATTTTATACTGATGCTTCAAACAGTTTAAGTTACAAATATACCAATGGGTTCAAAAAGATTGGGAAAGCCTGCAACACAACATTACTTACACATGGATCAAACCCATTACACTTTAGTAGTACATATAGAGAATGACCACATGTTTGAGATATATGTGTCCTTCCCATGCAAGCATTTTCTATCTTAGGTTGCTATGGATGACAACATAGAATCCAGCGGATATTATCCATTCAAACCACTTTGTATTTCCTCCTTACAGTTTGCTGAAGCAGTGTGGGATTCAGGTACAGTACACATAAATCTATTCCTCACAAACACAGTTCCATTTGACTCTACTTGATTTGCTGTAAGTAGTAACTTAACACATTCTATCAAAGTCAAAGGTACAATAATCTTTGATCTCCTGAACTCCTGAGTGAATTTCTACTCAACAGAAGTTTACTCAAAGTTTCACATTCCTTCCACATTTTTATACTGTGTCCTCCCCCTGTTGTCTCTCTGTATTAAATTATACAATGCAAGCTTTGTAGGTAAAGAAACCTGTCCTCTTATAGTTGATGAGACTGCCATGCACACCGATGACACAACAGCACTGTTCATTATTGAAAAGAGAGAATAAATTACAGTATCTATCTAAAATTGTATCTAATATTCCAGGTAGAGAAGCTAGGACAGAACACATTAAGCCTGAAATCAGATGTCACCTGGAAGGTCTCTTCCTGTCAAATCACATGTTCTTATTTTCAAAACACTTGCATCTCTCACCAATCCACTGGTTCTGTACATTGCACAGGAACAGATAATCCACAGACACAAGTAATAATACAATTTCATGAATGTATATGTAACTCAGTGGTTTAGGTCTCTGGCAACTGAACCAGAGGTTGGGAGTTCAATTCCCCACTGTGCCTCCTTGACAGGGGCTAGACTCTACGATCTGTAGGGTCTCTTCCAGCTCTGCAGTTCTATGATTATTATTATTAAGCTTCACATTTCTACAAAGAGATATTCTACTACATAAGCAAAATAACATTTAGATCACTTATTTGGTTTACTTTCTTCTAAAACAGTATCAAGGATCTGCAAAACTATGGCTGTAATCCAGCAGTAAATCACAGCTTAAGCAGGGCCACTGAATCAGAGGGAATCTGGTGAGTCAATTCCAATGGGCCTACTTTAGTTGCAATTTACTACTGGGTTCTAGACATTAGGTTTAAAAGTTAGTACCATTCTTATTACAAATTATTTTTTAAAAATGTACTATGTGATAAAAAAATTTAGCAACTTTTTATATGTGCTTCTGTCCCCTTTTTGCCAATGTAATTGAAGCATAAAGGCAATCTTGAAATTAAACTTTTGAGTTTCAGCCCAGCAATACAATAAAACGGCACTCTTTTGTCACACACACTGTATAATAAGAGTTCTGGGGAATAAAATATAAGAAGTGTGCAAATAGCAACTGGAATTTAAAGTTTCTTTCAGTATAGTTCTGTGTTTATACTTTGTTGTGGTTTAGTCGTTAAGTCGTGTCCGACTCTTCGTAACTCCATGGACCAGGGCACGCCAGGCCCTCCTGTCTTCATGTTTATACTACTGGACCACAACTTTGATTGGCCTTGGCCATGAAGAGAGAAAAGTCTCTTTTTTTATTATCAGCTTTGGTACCTTGGGTCAAATAAAGAACAAGGAGTTTTTCTGGCTCTTTTCATACACAAGAACCAAAGAACTGGCCACTTAGCCCAGATGTTTTCTTGGACATGGTGTCAAGGGAGTTCCCTTTTCTCCTCCAGAACAGGAAAAGATCAGAAAAGAAGCTTCTTGGCTTGCTTCTGTAGGACCAAAGCAACTCAGTACCATAATACTCAGAATACCTTGCTTCCAACCACTCAAAGGAGGGAAGAGAAAAATTGTCTGTCCCCTGCCTTCTTTAACTCCAAAGCCATGAAGGCTTAGCCTATCACCACTGCAGTGGTGATCTTCCTACAGAGAGAGCAAACAGGGAGGCTTTCCTATATTGCAGGCCCGGCTACCTTGAATACTACTACAGAGGGCCCCTGACATTTGAGAGTCAGGTCTTGGAGACACAGCAGTTGTGATGTAACAAAGCTTCAAATCCCACAGTGCATGCATGGAAGGTTCCCCACTCTTCCCAGCACCTCTTTCAGCTCCCTGCTGGCTCTTCCAAGCAACATCTTCTACCCACTTGACCCTGCTCTTCTAATGCTCCCTACACAGCCCTTCAGATTCCAGCCAATTTATCTAGAGAACACTGCAGTACTGTTAAGTCAAAACATCAACCTACTTATTTCGTAGGAGCTTTACAAACTGTCACTAAGTTGTGTAAAATGTTAGCAAAAGCAGTCACTTCTGTATCTGGACCAGAACAAATTCTGTATAGTTTAAGTCACCACTGAACCTTTTGTGCCTATTCTCCATCAAGACACTGTTGTAGGTATGTACAAAGTGATAATCTTGTTCTCAGGATGACAGCAGGAAATCCTCCAAATGAACATGTACAGATTATTCTGTAAGCACTCAACGTAATACCTAACAGTCACTCTCTCCTCTCCACAAAATATGAACATATGCTATTTGCAGCACAGATGCTTATAGCTCAACAATGGAAATCATCCTGCCCATTAGAAAGAGACAGATTGGATTTATGAAACTATGGGATGTTTTGATAACAGATAAATTAACACTGACAAACATGAACTAAATTAAGATAACAATTTTTATGGCAGATTGATAACACAAGATCTGAAAAAATGATACTGAGACTATTAAATCATATCTATATTACAAAACTCCCCAACAGCTATTTCGTAGTAACTATCTCCATTTAAGTTACAATCAGACAGATCTAAAACCTTTGATAGGTTAAGAGGACTTTGTTGCGCTCCACAGTTCTGGTTGACAGAACTGTGGAGTTTTAAAAGCCTTTTAAAGCCAGGTGTAACGCGTTTCCTTGATTTAACCGTGAGCCCATTTCAAAAAATAAAAAAATCCTTCTCTCCTAGTCAGAGCAGGCCTCCCGAAGAGACTTTCTGCAAAAGTTGATCTTAACTTGGAGGACGGGCGGAAAGGCCCAGGTCCCGCCTTACCCCCACTGAAAGTTTTGTGTTGTTCGCAAGGAAAAGGAAAAGAGGCGCGGCGGCGCAGGAGCCAACCGCCCCCCCCACACCGTCCCTTTTCCTCCGGCTACCCGGAGAGACACACACCCCTTCTCCCAAACAGGGCTCCCCGCCAGCATCTAAACATACACACACAGACCAGACCCTCAAATAAAGGGAAAAAGACACAAGAGAGAAAAAGAACAAAAGTTGGAAGAGCCTCCAAAAAGTGAGGGAAGAGAGGAGGAAAAAAAAAGACGAGTAGAAAAGTAAGGAGAAGGGGCCCTCTTACAGCCCAAGAGGTCCCGAGAAAGGGGGGGAGAGAGAGAGAAAAAGATTTCCCCCCCCCCACACACCCCTCTCTTCCTCATTCGCGTCGGCCTCCCTCCCCATTGAGAAGCGCTCACAAATCCCTGGAATGAGGACACCGCCCTACGAGGGAAGGAGGGAGGGAGGAGGCCTCAAGCGGCGGCGGCGACGGAGGAGGGAGGGAGGAAAAGGATTATATCCCGCCGCCGCTCCCCGACCGGCTTTACAACCAGGCGGTTCGGTGTCCCACTTAAGAGGGGGAAGGGATTTGGGAGGGGGGGGGGTTAAAGAAAGGAGAGGAGGGAGGTGTACGAGGAAGGGAAGAGCGCCCAGGAGGTTTTCCCCCGCCCCCCCTCCGCCTGAGGAGACCCGTCGTGGCTCCGAAAGTTTCTTAACTAGGCCGAGCCGGGCGAAAGTCACGTCGACGACTCCCCTCACATACCCCAACCGCCGCCTCCGCTTCCTCCAAAGGGGAAAAGTTACCTGCGGCGGCGACGACCCCAGAGTCCCCCCCAGGCCCGGAGGTGGTTGGGACGAAGACTTGTTGTCGGTCGTTTCCCCTCAACCTGCTGGTGGTCAGTCGGCCGGTCAGTTTTTTAATGACGGCTCCCTCGCCTCGCCTGTTGGTTCTCGTCGCCGCCGCCGCCTCGCCCCGTCCCGAGACTGAGAAGAAAACGAGGAAACGGAACTCTTCCGGGCACCTCCCGCTGCAGCTTTTCCTCGCTCTTCTGAGCACCGCCCTCCGGTTCTCGGCAGGCTCTTCCCAGCACCGCCCTCTACACGCTTCCCTTGGTTCTTCCAAAGTTCCCGGACGGCTCTTCTCCACGCCGCCCTCGGCTCTCCCCCGGACGGCTCTTCTGTCCACACACCGCGCCTCCCCCACCCTCGAGAGAAACAGCTCGGATAGGAAACGGCGCTTTCTCCCCCCACCCCGCTCGCTGCTTTTCCCGTTAGGTCTAAGAGTCAAGGGACTTTGCTAACTTGGGGGCGGCCGGTGGAGGAGGGAGGAAAAACAGGGGGAGGAGAAGCAGTTGCCGCAACAGCCGCAGCGTGGAGAGGGGCGGGGCGAGAGGAGGGAGGGGGGAGTTTCAGGTGAGAGAGGGAGCGGAGATTTGTGTGGGCCAAGGGGAAACTTCCTGAGTCGTCTTTTATTTATTTATTTATTTTTAATAAGGGAGGGGATCGTGTGTATCTCGTAACTTCACGTCCAAGGATGTTTGTGTCCCATTTTACCATATAAGGTCCGGACGCTCTCCTTCGGTCGAAGTATTTGAGAAAGAGTCCACCGGAATTCCTCATTTCCTGAGAAAAGGGCATCATCCGATTAAGCTGAGCAGAGCCTTGGGCATCAAACGTCGAAGCGGCCCTCACCTGTAATATACCTGGCCTGAATAAAATGTCAGTTCGTGTATAAAAACAACTCTTTGTCCTCTGTGTATTTATTTCAGATACTTACACCTCACTGAACTATTTGAAGAAGGATCTCAAGCTCAAGTGTTCAGCCAGGGTGAAAATTACCAGTAAACTGGAACTAACTGCATGTCATAAGTGTAATAGATAGTGGAACAGGAGACCTTCAGGGGATCAATTAAATTCAAAATCATTGTTTTGTTTTTATTTTGTTTGTGTGTACTGCTCAACACATTGATTTTTGTTATTTTATTTATATTAATAATTTTTATACAATATTGAGGTTTCTTCCAATGAGAGCAAAGTATATGTACTGTAGGTCTTCTCTAAGTTCACCGTGGCTGATATCCTATTTAGTACTTTATTCGAGTTGCAACTTACCACACTAAGCAACAGGATTTCAACAAATAATCCTTATTATTCATTCATTCATTCATTCGATTTACATCCCACCCATCTGGTATATTCTACCACTCTTATCAGGTCAGAGTGAAAGATTGCGATTACCTGAAACTCACCAGTTGAGTTTCATGGCTACGTAAGGACTCCAACCTGATCTCCAGAGTCCTTGTTCAGTGCTTTAACTGAATGTGATTGGGTTCGTTGGTTGATGTGTGCGGAAAAGAGAGTCGGAGGCTGGTCTTTATTCTTAACACAACTTGATTTATTACTGAACAAACTTAACTCCACGGGTTCAAACAGCTCCATTAAAGTACGTTCAGGTAATAAACGGTAACTTCGCATCTTAACATCTGGTGTCTCAATACTAAGGGGCCGGACCAAACTGCTCCCTGTCGGTCATGGGCCTCCGTGGTGTGCTCCTCACCGCGCACACGGTCCCACAGCAGGGGTGTCTCGCCCAGTCCCCCTATCGTTGAGGCTGGAGTAAAGAGGGACTGGGACAGATCACCCTCCTCCCTCCCCCCCCATGCTGGCTGCGCGGATATACTACTACCGTCCATTCCAAAGGCTCTAAGTCTTCCCCTTGCACAAGTTAAGTGCTCCTCCAACTTGGAGATTAGGGAATGCCTTAAGAAGTGTGGCAAATCTTTCCTGCCCAGCACTCCATTCGGTTTGTACTCCGTGGTCTCTCCTTTCTGGTGTCACGCCCGTTATGATTCTAAAACTTTGCGAGCCCTTTTCCTCCTTTATATCTCCCTCCCACACACCAATATGCCCTCTATACATCCGTGTCCTTCCTCTGTTCTCTGCTCCATGGAGGACGGCACAATGGTCCTCTTTCCTTCATAATGAACCACACTGCCCTGTGGAAAAAATTGTGTTTTTCCTTCTTGCTATAAAAGCAGCAATGATGGGACAAAGTAGACCTTGGTTAGGAGAGCTGCTATAATCACCTATCCCATCCTGCCGACTCACCATGCCTCAGGTGCTGCAGGGGGACACAGATAAGTGTTTCTGGTGGTTGTCATGGCTTCACTGCATGAATCCTTCAGTGAGGATGAGCTGGACTGCCCACTCACCGATCCACCCGCTCAAAAAAACTGACACAGAAGAAGAACTGCAGGAGGAAGGCCTGTCAAAAGAGGCTGAATTCCCTCCCCGTCCACAGGAATGCCTTAGAATAAAATCACAAGCCCAGTTGGAAGGTCTCCTTCATGTTTTCAGTGGTCCAGTGAAGGTATCACCTGCTTCAGAGCAGAGTTACCTTCTGGAATAGGAGACCGACAGGTCAAATCCTGAACACTTCCCAGTTGTGCAAGTGCCTGCAGCTGAGTGCCAAGGGGAGGACCCTCCAGCAGCTCAGATATATAAACCTTATTCTGTGATGGGGATTTTATGAGAGATGGACTTCTCTTCTTGTGCCAGATCTTGTCCGCTGTGTATCCTGACCTCTGTTAGAGTGTGCTTGCTGTGTCTGTTATTTGGACTGTCTGTGTCTACTTGGGCTGTTCCTATTTGTTTTCTGGCATGACAAGAGCTGTACTGAAGACAGTCTGGAAGTCTTTTATCTGTTCGTGGGTATATCTCTCATTTAAAAAGTTGGCATGCCCGAAAGCTGACAGTCTTAGCCTAACACACAATAACTACTTTGTATATCTATCTGTGTGCTATGAAGTTTAGTTTGTAATGGAAACTAGGAGTGAATTCTAAAACCGGCCAAGCTGTGTATGGAATAGAGTGCTAGGTCATTAAGAGTGCTGTAACATTTTCACACCAGTGATTCAGGTTTGAATTTGAGAGAAAGGCAGTCAAGCAAATGCATCTATGCTTGTGCAATAGAAGTTTAATTTACTGCTTTCCATCTCTCAGTTTCTGCCTCCTGCCATGGATACATTTTCTATATTTAATGCTGTATTCCATTGTGAAAGATATATATTCTCTCCTTGTAGTAGTACGTCTGTTCAGAAAATGGAATACTGTTGTCCACACATTCTAAATACTATTTGCTTTAAAAACACCCAATGTGCATGTGCTGTCAGTTTTACCAGCTAAAAGATTTTCCAGGTCTTCATTAACCATTCAGTTTTAAAGTTATAACACAATCATGCATATCTACAGTTGCATTGGGTAAGTCTCACTTATTGCTCAATAAACATGTTGAGGTTTGTAATAAAATCCTACACCTGTTTATTCAGAAGTAAGCCATATTAGGTGAAATCCTGTTGCTTATTGTAGTAGCAGCAGCATTAGAGTAAGCCCATTAATCACTGGAAATTTGGTAAGTGAACTCCTTCATAAGTTCCACTGATTCAAATGGGCCTACTCTGGTCATAACTTTAGCATAGTACGTTGCAAATAGAGTAGACCTAATGAAACCTATCCATTTTGAAGAAAATCAACCCCAAGTGTTCACTGGAAGGACAGATCCTGAAGCTGAGGCTCCAAAACTTTGGCCATCTCATGAGAAGAGAAGACTCCTTGGAAAAGACCCTGATGTTGGGAAAGCGTGAAGGCAAGAGGAGAAGGGGATGACAGAGGACGAGATGGTTGGACAGTGTCACTGAAGCTACCAACATGATTTTGACCCAACTCTGGGAGGCAGTGGAAGACCGGAGGGTCTGCTGTGCTTGGGTCCATGGGGTCACAAAGAGTCAGACACGATTTAATGACTAAAGAACAACAACAACAATGAATCAGTGAAACTTATGGAGGAATTGACTGACCAAATTCCCATTGATTCAATGGGCCTACTCTAATGTTATTTACTACATTTAACAACAAGATTTCAGCAACTGTGTGCCATGAGGCTTACTCCCATGAAAGAGTGCATAGGATTGTTTCACTTTATTTGTGGTAAGAATTAGCCAACTTGCTTAGATTTCTTTATAGAGAAAAAACTGAGATTAAAAAAAAGGTAAAATGTGATTGAAATGGAAACCGATTTTTCATGTTGTTAATGCTTTTCTTTTCTTTTTTTAAAAAATCTTTGTTTGGATGCTTTTGTGTTCTATATATGTTAGTAATGAATGAGAAGCATTATTTCTTATCTGGCAGGAATTGAGAGGGTTCCAGAACTTTATGCATTGCTTGCACAAAATGGCCCTCAATGTTAAGAAGAGTTTATAATTTCTTAAATTTGACTACATACAAGATAATTTTGGTTTTCAACTTTTTCTGAGGATTTAGTAAACTTCACAACTTTATTTATATTTTGAATGGGAAGACGTTTAAAAAATTCAAATGAAGATGAAAATAACACTAAACAATTTTCCCATTTTTAATGGGGACAGCTTTGGTTGCCTTCATGGATGACCTACACCAGAAACTGTATAGGGAGAGTATGTTCCTGTTGGTTCTGTTGGACTTCTCAGCAGTTTTCATTATCATTGACCATGATATCCTCCTGAGCTGTCATTCTGGGATAGGATTTGGAGGCACCATTTTATGGTAGCTCTGATCCTTCCTGGAGGGAAGACCCCAGAGGGGGGTGGTGCTGGAGGACTCCTGTTCGATACCCTGGCTGTTTCAGTTCTAGATCAGTCTCTGGTGTCATTAATGGACTGGAAGAGGTGAATAAACTGAAACTTAATCCAGTCAAGACAGCTAGTCCTCAGCCAAAAGGCAGATCAAAGAATAAGGATTCAGCCTGTCCTGGATGGGGTTACACTCCCTCCAAAAACACAGGTGTGCAGCTTGGGGATGCTCCTGCATTCCTCTCTGAACCTGGATGCCTAGATTTAAATGGTGGCAAGGAGTGTATCAGCACAATTAAAACTAGTGCTTCAGCTGCTCATGTACCTGGGGTGGTTCAGATCTGGCCATGGTGACACATGCCTTAGTTACCTCTTGGTTGGATTAGTTTAACATGCACTATGTGAGGCTGCCTTTGGAAAGTGTTTGGAAACGTCAATGAGTCCAAAACACTGCAGCCAGATTGTTAATGGAGGTTGGTTATAAGGATCACACAACACCTCTTCCCCCCGCCCCCCGTCCCCATTAGCACCACTGGCTGCCAATCTGTTTCTGGGCACAATTCAAAGCGCTGCATTTAACCTATAAAACACTAAACAGTGTGGGTATAAGCTATCTAAAAGAATGTATCTCCCTCTATGAGCCTGCCCAGGCATTAAGATCATCAGTGGATGTTCTTGGTCCCATCACTCTCACTGGCGCATTTGGTGGGGACACAAGAGACCACCTTCTCTGTTGCTTCTCCCAGACTCTG